CTGCATGATGTATCTTTCACCTTGTGTGTAGCGAATCAGCTCATGGGGAAATATGAATAATTAATCATAACTAGTTATAATTAATTATAAATATTTAGATCCGCTGTAGATATTTACTTGACCTCTCAGGGCCAACTGTCTGGCAATTCTAAGAACGTTAATTTCCTGATTAAGAGAAATAACTTTCTTACTGTACAACTCTACACAGAGCCTGTAGAATAAATCTGCATGATTAGGGACTCTAGTTATGAGCAAACAATGAACAACGTGAAGTGTGATACAAGTACGACTTTATTAACTACATAAACACTTAAACTAGTCTAAACATACAAGCTATGGTACCATTTGATATTCAGCAGATCTACCGCCTAAAGGAAACATCAGATTCTTAGTTCAAACACACCTTTGTAAAAAGGTGCACCTAATGTATCAATTAACAAGACTAAGTTTGATACTTGCACGTCTCGTCTGTCTGAAAGAGGCTTGATGCAATCTGAAGGTTCAAGTTGATCTTTGCTGAAGTTGGTTGATGAAAAAGAACCAGTTTGAGTCAGATTATCTTGGTGAATGGAAAGTCAAGGCCCGAGGCCTGGCACAAAACTTAGGGTGTCCTGGAGCGTTCTAGCTCATGTCTTCATCTTAGAATCTAACCGAACCACCGACTCTGGGCGGGTCACTGAAGTGAGGCCTTTAAGGTCCGAGAAGATTCACGACTCTCAAGATGGGCTTGTCCAATGAGAAAGGCTGAAATCCCAAGTGGGAGGTTGCCATTACTGGAGGGTTTTATGAGCCTTTGTGTGAGGGCATGGTAATTTGCAAATGGAACTCGAGTGGGGGCGTGATGAAAGATTACTAAATGTTCTTAGAACACTAATGTGTTGAATAGGTATAAACATATAATGTACACTCTCAATTAGATAATCTGAATACGAATTCATAGAGACCAAGCATGGTATATGTGAGGTTACATGAATGAGTGGTTATACCATAAGCATGCATAAAATAGTCTACAATGCAACAGACAATATACAAGACAGCAATAATATACACTGGTGATGGCTCTGTCCTCTTCTGGCTAGGGCTTTCTGTAGAAGGGTCTTGCATTGTGGCAATGCTGGGTGCCTTCTGGTGCCCGCTTTGGATTCTGAGTTGTGAAGTTCAGATTCAGCAGCGATCAGTCCATGTTCAGACTCTGGGTCTGAGAATTCCTTTATGATGGCTTGTTTAAGCTGCTGGTGAGGCTGCAGGATCAGTTCCTTTGATGTCCTCAGGGTCTCTGCAGTATTTAGGTATTTAGGCCAGATGTGTTGTCTCTGGCCAGCTCGTTGGGGTCTGTGGGGTCTGCAGTGGTCCTCTAGAAGGGTCCTAGTGAGGTAGGGTGCTATGTTTTTGTGTTCGTGAACACAAAGAGAGAGTTTGAGTAATTTTGTTGAGGGGGCTGTAAGCAGGGGTCAGCTGATGACCGGGTTATAGATGTGGTCAAACTATTACTCAAAGCACTGATGGTTCACGGTTTTGGTCACTCTGACAATACTAAAATAAAATAAGATGAAATCAAAAAAAAAGAAAAGGAAGAAGGAAGATGTTACCTATTTAGTTTTTTTTTTGTTAAGAGATATGGCTAAGCAGGTGTCACTTGCGGGTGATGCTGTAATAGACTCATAAACCCAGGGTTAGACTGTTAGCTAAACTAGCAGGGACACACCAAATACCTCATCAAAAGAAAAAGAAAAAGAAACAGTGGGAATTGTTCCTAGTTCTATCTTGACCTACATTGTGTTGAACAGTAGCTGCCCTTCAATGTATTAGGTCTGGCACTGAGGAGTGAGGAGAAGTAGAGAGGAAACAGGGATTAGGCTACTAATAACCTGTATAACTGTATACCATTAAATTAAGGAAACAACAGTTGCTAGAACTACTGTAATCCTATACAAAAAGCGAAGATGGTGATGTTAAAATAACTACCAATAAGGTAAAAGTAAAACAAAACAAACAAAAAAAGGGTCCTAATAGCTGTAGGAAACTAAAAGGGTTTAATAAAAATCAATTTAGCTGAATTGGTACATTTGTGCTAAACAAATGTAAATAAATGCAATAAAATTAAAGAGAGGTAGAATAAAGTCAAAACAAAAATAAACAATAACACAAGTAAAACCAAAGTATGTAGAGCGAGGGAGAGAGGAGTGGTTTGAAAGTTACACTTTACACACCTATCTAAGTGTTATTCGGATGCTAACAGCTAGCAGTTGAGGTAAAGGGATTAGCTTAAATGCCTGTGTGGCTGCTAAAGAGTTAGCGTTGGCTACACGCAGTTATTTGTTTACACACAGGTCTGTGAAGTGGGTGCTGTTGTCAGATTAGCCGGAAGAGTCTGCTCACACTTCCGGGTCACGTGTTGCTAGGAGACCAATGCAAACTCACATCAGGTGCAAGGGAAGCAGAACTTGCACTGCTGTGAGCATGCATGGGAAACTCATGCATGTCCCATACAAATTCATTCATTACTCAAAACAGCACATTCACTTCACAGGCAATGGTGGATTCGTAGTTAGCTACGCTAGAATAA